CCAAGGGATTTTAGGGGTTATGACAGGCTGATGTTGGAAATGGGGATCTTTTAGTGCCAACAGGCCAGTCTTTGTTCACTCTGCCTGCTCCAGAGACCAAACCATTCCATCTGCATAATATATTTGCTAGTTACAGTGTCTCCGTCTTATATTTCTGTCCCTGGAAGTTTTCACAATAACTCTACCTTCTCTACACAACTCTCATCCTTAGAAGAGTTTTATTTTCTCTCTTATCTTTATGTTCCATCTTAGAAACATTAGCAAAGAGAAAAGAGGGCAAAGTGGAAGAGTCCAGAAGGGGATCATTTTCAGAAGACTCTTCTCCAGGAAAAAGTGTCCAAGGTAAAACCAGAGATTTGGGACTTTATTCATTAAAGTAAAACCAGAGAAGGTGCCCATCTCAAAGGGGAGATGGAAGGTCTAAGAGCCTACCTGGAAAACAGAAGGTACTTGTAATCCTGGGAGACAACGACTCCAACTGGGAGAGGTAGACAGGTAGATGAGTGGACAGAGAAGCCAGGGGAAGAGGACACCGCCCCCCAAGATCCTTCCTAGGTGGGCCTCCTCACTCCCTATGTTCAGGTTTGAATTCTGATGCTGGCAGACCCATTCTCACGGCCCACCAAACCAGGTCAGTTTCTACTACCAGGCCATTGGCCAGTGACTCAGGGAAGTAACTGTCTTAAAAACTGAGGTAGTTCTGTTAGAACCACCTTCAGTTCTACCATCATCTTTAGGTAGAACTACTTTCCTCCTTCCACCCTCCATCATAATTATTTAAGTTATATTACCTTGCCTGTTGGAGGATCTGGGCAGGGTGTGGCGGAAGGGGATAGAGGGAGTGAGTGGTGAAATCAATGTTCTTGTCTCTGAAATCTTGAATACAGAACAGAAATTATTGCATTTAAATAACACCCCTTAGCATTATTTTCAGTAGTATGTGTTAAGGTATCAACTGAAAAGCTAAGATGGTAAGTTATGATGGTGGTGGTTCTTAATCCATTTATTTCCTTCCTTCCTTCATTTTACCGTGCATTTACTGGAGGCATACAATGTGTCAGACACTCTTCAAGACCCTGAGTAAACAAAGATTAATAAAGCTGCACCCCAGAAATACACAATACAATGGAGTGAGTGACATAGTAGTAATACATACCAAGGGTTTGAAGACAGAAACAAAAAAGTTGACCTCTACCTGGGGCGTTTAGGAAAAGTCTTTATAGACAAGGGAACATTTGAACTGAGTTTTGAAGTATGTGTAGGAATTTGCTGTATGGAAGGTGGAGAGAGTGAGGTCTGCTGTGGGTTCAAGACAGAACAGCATAAAGTTATTGGGAGTCATGAAAGCACTGGTGTGAGGAAACAGGGAGCTCTAGAGCTGGGATGACTCTTGAGAGTTGTCCCACAATGAGTTAGTGAGGCATCAGTCATTGGCTGTATACTGCCCTTGGGAGGGGTGCCTAGTGAGAGACATAGCTGAGAGCCATGTGCGGCTGATAAGCTCTGTGGGGTGTCTGAAGAGACTAGAGACAAATTTTGCTCACTTCTCAGTTTCAGACCAGGGTTAGGCCCAGATCTTGACTAAAATATGGGAGTGAGTAAAGGGAGGAGCAAACGCCCAGGTGACTTGTGTGTGGCAATGATGTCTCCCCACAAGACTTGATTAACAACAACAAAAAAAAGTGATTAAAAACATCTATGATTAGAAATAAAATAAGTAAATAAAAATATCTATGATTAGGTGAAAATAGAACCATGAAATATTTTATAATTTGTGTCCCTGACTTGTGACCAAGGAGCTCTGGTTGCACAGTAGTTAAAACATATGGCTGCTAACCAAAAGGTAGGAAGTGCAAACCCACCAGCTGCTCCTCAGGAGAAAGATAAGGCAGTCTGCTTCTGTAAAGATTTACAGCCTTTGAAATGCTATGGGGCAATTTTATGCTATCCTATATGATTGCTATGAGTTCGATTCAACTTGATGGCAGAAGGTTGGTTGGTTGGGTTGGTTGATATGTAACTTTTGGATAGTCATGTTATATTTCTGACAAAACCACCAACCTCAACCAATGTGCCTTTGATTTTAGACTTATGCTTGAAGCCCAATTTCAGTAGGAAAAAAGAGCCCATTTTCTACATGATTATCATTCTTAATAATAATACTTTAAAAAAAAGTAATGAGCATACCCATGCAGAAAAATGAATACCATGCACCAAGTGACAAGGCTTATTTTTAATGATATGCCATTTCTTTTTGCAACCACCATCACCAATGATGTGGACTTCACCTGGACATTTTGAACAGGAAAGCAACACAAGAAGACCGCTCTTACGCCAGAGAAAAGGAAATCATCTTTCACAAAGTACTGTACACGCTTGATTACCTCTCTTGCAAACTGTGAATGATTTTTAGCCAATATCCATCTTAGCCTTTCTTCAGACATTGTTGTTGTCAGTTGCTGTTTAGTCGTCTCCCCCTCATGATGACATTATGTGCAACAGGGCAAAGCATTGCCCCGGGCTAACTATCTTCATGCTCATTGGTATGTTTCAGTCTGCTGTTCAGGCTGTTGTGTCAATCCATCTTATTAAGGGTTTCTCTTGACCTTCTGCTTTTCTTGATAATGTGTTCAAAGCAAGTGAGCTGAAGTTTCACATTCTTGCTTCTAAGGAGCATTCTAGTTGTATTCATTTAAGACGGATTTGCTTGCTGTTCTGGCAGTCCATGGTGTAGTCAATGTTCTTCAATAACACCACGGTCTGAATGCATCAATTCTTTTTTTTTTTTTTTTTCATTGTCCAGCCTCTGGATACATATGAGGCGACTGAGAAACCAAGGCTTGGATCAGGTGCACCTTAGTCATCAAAATGATTGCTTTGCTTTTTAACACTTTATGGAGGTCTTTTGCAGCAGACTTTCCCAATGCAATATGTCTCAACTGCTGCTTCCATGGATGTTGATTGTACATCCAAGTAGAATACCTATACACCATACTACACATCCACTTCTTTGTTACAGATGCTTGAGGACATAGTTGCCATTCTTATGTGCTCATGAAGTAACCAAGCTCTCATAGGCCTCCCGCATTCTGTAATGAGTGCCTGCAGCTGCTATTGGCAGAAAATGCCTATCCACTGCATTTGTCTTAGCCTCTCAGAATTCACTGCCCTATTGCTTAGTAAGCTATGCTGCTGGCCTGTGTGTTTGTAATCTCACCACATCATTCAAAATTGCTGCAATACAACTCACACCAATGTTCCTTGCAGCACTAATCATAATACGTAAAATGTGGAAACAACCCAAGTCTCCATCAATAGATGAATGGAAACAAAATATGGTATTTATGTACAATGGAGTATTATTCAGCTACAAAGAGAAGTGAAGTTCTGACACATGCTATGACATGATGAACCTCAGAAACTTTGTTCTGAGGGAAATAAGCCAAACACAAAAGCACAAATATTGTACTACCCCAATTACATGAAATACTTAGAATAAATAGATCCATGGAGACCAAAGATTAGTGATGACCAGGGGATAGTCATACTGCAATAGGATCTTAAGAGTTTTGTTTAGGTTTGTTTCTTCCATTACATAGATGACAGACTCCTTTATACTCATTAGTTTATAAATCTCTACTTCTCAACCCTGGCTATTCCAAGGAACTTTAAGGAAATATATTCGTGCCCAGATCCCATTCCAGGTCAATTAAATCAGATCTCTGGGTATAGGGACTGAACCTCCACATGTTTTTAAAGATCCCCAGTGATTCTAATGGATACCCAGGATTAAGTTGTTGTTGTTAGGTGCCATCAAGTCGTGTACAACTCAGAGCAACCCTATGCACAGCAGAACGAAACACCGCCTGGT